TGCCCGCACAGCGGTGCCTGCCTGTGCGCTGCCTCCCCTGCTCTGTCCCCTTCTCTCTCCCCGAATACCCCTTCCCCACTTTTTCCGGCCTTGGCACCTGCCCTTTCCCTGCTCACGTAACTGCACCCGCTCCCTTATCCCGTCCCGTGCATTCGCCTACGGCGGCAGGTAGCAGCGTCGGTGGAGGAGGCTTCCTCATGCTCTGCAGCAGCTGAGGGTGTGAGGGTGCAGGAGGGATGTAACCCTGCACCCTCTCGGCCCAAGGGCACCACCCTGGCAGCGTTCCCGGGGCTCTCCCCTCTCCGGCCCTGCTGTCCCGCTGGCGCTTGTCCCTCTGGCAATGCATCTGCTCTGCTTTTCCTGAGCTTCACAAATACCTCCTGCTATAGCGTGAACTGCGCTGTTCTGTGCCATGCAGCCAGCCCCAGCTCCCTTCTTGTTCCGACAGGACAGGCAGAGTGCAAGCTAACAGAAATACCATGCGATAATTAAACAGGGAGGTTTTCTGTGCTACCTTTACAAAAATCAGGTCATTGCTGGCAGGCACCCTGTGTGCAAGAGAGCCCCACACCCAAAAGTGTCAGGACAGACGATGGTGAGTCCCTATACAAAGGAATCCTGCCTGGGACTAAAAGTTGCGTGGTTGCAGAATGGGTAGGTTGCGCATGGCAGAAGTTTGGGCAGCGAATGTGCAGGTTTGGACCCTGCTGATGAGCCAAATGGATACTGACGTGAGGGCACACATCTGATTTTCCTCCCCTTATTTACAAAAAAAATCTAGAAAATGCACACAAAAAAAGCCTATGTTAAATGACTATTGTTAAAGGTCTGAAGCAGTCAGAAGCTACAAAACACCATTCCAGTTGCTAGTCTGTACCCAGCTCAGTTGCCTGTTGCATGGGCTTTACGATGCAGTCCGTAATTACAGGATTACATTTTTTCCCCTCAAGAGATTGTCTCTGTCAGTGCTTGAGAATGATGGATCTTGGAGGATGAGACTGATCTGGGTAAGGAAGGAGGCAGGTTAATTTGCTGCAGAAGTTGGAAAACAGACTGAATGGCACAGGCAGTAGCAAGAAGAAGAAGGCTGCTCTCTTGGAGCAGTGATGGGTAATGGCTCTGCTTCAGCCGGAGCTGATATAGGTGCTGAGTAGATCACTTAAGCTCAAATTTTTGCAGGTGGTTGCTAGCTAATTCAGTGTGTCTGCCTTGAGCTACCGAAGGTCTGGCAGGAACATGTGCTAAATGCTCCTAATACAGCTGAAATAAATGGGAGCTATACTTCGAGCACGTGCTGCAGGACAACGTGTGCTCTGAAAAAAATCACCCTTGCGTGTTTCATCAGGACACCTAAACTTAATGGATGTTTTTGACCTTAATCTTTGGCTGATATCTCTCCTTCATCTCATAGACTATGAAAATAAATTAACATTTACAAAACATTCATATTCTATAGAGGTAACAGGCATAAAACAGTCCAAAAGTAAATGAGTAACGCTACCGTCAGAGCGTGATCTGTGTATCATGAAGTAAGTAATGCCTCGGGCAACAGGCTGAAGAAGGAATGTGAAACTAAAGGCTGAGTACCTGGCCAGGATCCGTGCTGAGCACTGAGCAAGACAGTGGTCCCGTGGTACGCAGAGGCCATGCTATAACTCGTGCAAAACGCAGGTAAATTAAGGGCACAACAGCAAGTTTGCGGTGTGCATTCTACCAGCGTATGAAATGTGACTTGAGTAAAAGGAGTGGTGGATCAGCAAATGAGTTGATATGGTTAATGCCGTCTGATTGCTTCATATGTTTCTGATGATACCGGGAAGGAAATAGGGACTTGCTGCCTTTTGCCTGTTCTTGTTGCTCTGTGCTGTAGTTGTTGCTTGGTTTGCAAAATAATGTTAAATTGCTTTGGTTGTTACACACATGATCGCTGCTGCAAGCTTCTGCCTGGGGAAATCTTAGGTTTCCCAAATGAGACAACGGTGGGCAGCTTTCTCCCCGTGGGTCTGTTTTAACTTATTTTTCCACAGCTGGAAGCAACCATTGCTTTGCTGTTGTCAGCCTGCTGGCAGATAGGCAGTTTTGCTGAGTGTCGTAGAGATGGAGGGGTCAAAGGATCCAGTTTGTCAAAGCGACAAAACCTTTTGAGGATTTTGGGGGACAGATCCAGTGTCTATTCTTTGCTATCCATCCTAACACCCAGGCGTGGGCACAGCCTGTGAACTCTGCATAGGGAACTCATGACTTCAGAGGTGCCTGACCTGTACATACAGGGATGGGTTCGCAAACCAATCCTCTAGAATTAGAAGTGATCTCCCCAAAAGCTGGATTTGATGCTAATCTGTGTATGTTTGCAGGGATGTTAGCATTCCGCAAGATGCTGCTGCTGCAGAAGTGAAGCTAAAATGATCTATTCTTTTTTTCCACCAATTTAACTTGCTATTCAGAAGCACTAAGGCTCAAAGCTTATCTTTTATAAACAAAATCTGAGATCTTCTCTTTATAATTCTTAATCTTCAAGTCAGGGAATAATGGCTTCAGGTTTAAGGAATCCAGTTATTTAGATAATGTAATGGAAATAAGCAACGTGGATATTCTGCAGTCCCGGTGTAGGGATCATTTCAGGTTTATCTTTATGCAAATTAATAAAGTTTTGACTTTCATAAATTGATATGCCAGGCACAAAGTGATTTGAGCTTGCGCACATTTATCTAAACTGATGCAGAAATCAAGCAGACCTAACTTCTGAGAACAGAGGAAGGTGAGAAGATTAACTTTTTCATACCTCTCTGTCACTCATGATACTCAAATTATAAAGGTGTCTTTTGCAAACTATATATTTTCAAAGTAAATGCGTTCACCATCTGAAAGATTGCAGAATAGCTGTGTTTTGTGAAGGAAAAAGAATCACATTCTTGATGTAATTGTTCAATTACATTGTATCTCCCCACATCTTTTCTTTATTGTTATTATCTAATAGTAATGAAATAATAAGTTTATGAACTTTGTCTTTAGCGATTACTAATTTGTAACCTGAGTTCAGTTGATTGAAGCTGATGGGAAGGGACTGGTTTTGTTAGATAAATTTCCAGAGAGAGTTTTGATTATTGGCTGACATATGTGTCTGTGCATTTTCTTAACAAGATAAAATATTTCTTAAACAAAACCTTTCTATTTTAATCTTGACAGGAGAAATAATTCCCTTTGAAATGTGCAGTTACTGGCATTCTAGATGAAGAATAAAACCCTGTGAGAACTTGTCAAATAATAATCACAAACATCTTCTAAAATTACTTCAGGGTCAGCTTTCAAATAAATTATTTGCAGGTGCATTTTGGCATCATTCAAACAGGTCAAATAAACTACTCATCTACTCATCTTTTTTTGCCATTAGGCTAAATAATATATTCATCTCTCCAGTATCCAATGGCTAACCTTGGTACCCATGAAACTTTCTCATTCCTGAGTCGAAGCTGAGCATGAGTTGGTAAATTAGGCAGGTGGATAATGCTTTAACTAAACTTAACTTCAGCTAAAGATCCTAATATTTCTTTGGGCTAAAACACAACTGCGATCACATGGGTCGATCTAGATGTGAGCCAGGGTTGGTTCTCAACAATAATTTCATGGGTTTTACTAATTTATAATATTTTTGTCCTCATGTATCATATTTTCTGATAATGACTATGGCTTTGAAATCTAGTAAGCGTCTGAATATCTAAAAGCATATCGCCTGCCCCAGGAGTTCAAGCCAAACCACCAAAGTGGACCGGGTATCCCATGTTCTCCTTTGCGCTGGCACTTGTCTTTGGTTAGCCAGCTCAGGGAGTTAAATCAGCAGAGTATGACTTGCTTTGCGAAGGGAAAAAAAAGAGAGAGAGTTGTTTTCTGCTGGCTGAGCTGTCTGACCCTGGGGTGGGACGAGCAGCGCGGGGAGCGTGGGGCTGGAAGGATGGCAGCAGCGCCGGCTTTGGTCGGTTGAAGTTTCCGGGGAACTGTATCTCAGCTGTATGTCACGTGCACAACTGATTAAATGCTTCACATGGCCCCCGTTTCCTTCCAGAGTTAGTGTCAGCCTCCATCCCGTGCCTGATCTCATCACATGAGGTGCACATCTGGAGCAGAGCAGCTGGTTCCCAGCTAGTCCCTCCCCTCCTTTTCCCCACCCCAATCCATGTCACCAGTTTTCGTTTCACTTATTTTGTGTTCCCCTGGTGAGAGGTAAAGGTTAAACATTTCGCCTAATTATCAGAGTGAAAAAAACCTTCCAGGTAGCAGAGAGAGAGAGAAGAGTAAGGAGGAAACAAAAGCCGGCTGGGATTTTCTTGGGGCTTTTTACACCCATTAAGGGGCTTACCCACCAGTTTGAAAACTGCTGGTCTGTGTTGCACATTTTATTTATAATGAGCATTTTAGGTAAAGGGGATGTTCTTTGAATGAAGTGCCTTGCTTTTTCAAGAGCTTGGCATAAATAGGCTGTGGGACTTCTGTCAGCCTTGCAGCAAGAGTTTACAAGGTTTTTTTTTTTTAAGTAAGACATGAGCGGAAAGAAGCAGATGAAGACACATGGCAGTTTTTCTTCAAATAATTTCAAATTTGTCACCAAATTCTCTCCAAGCAGAGGAGAAGTTTGGGGGAGATTAGTTCGATTTGGTAAAGATTTAGGGAAGCGGTAATAGGATTTTGTAGATCATGTCCATCCTGCATGGCACGGGAATTATGGGTGCATAGCATTTATTTGCTTGATAGCTTTACCACTTAGTAAACACACCCATCTGAATTGAGTACTTTTTGGTGTAGTACCACTAGCTTACCCATATCGGGTATCAGCTCCTGTAGTTTTAGATTCAAACCATGTTAAGTGGCTGTGGCTATAGGCGGTGGCAGAGGACTTGCAAAGGCAGCATGGTGAACAGCCCTGGAGGAGGGATTAGAGCTGGGTGGGGGTTAATCGCATTCAGCATCCAACAGGCTGTGATAAACTCTGTGCCTTGTGTTTTCAGAGACTGCACAGTGGAGTTCTCAGAGATCTTGAGCGTCAAAATCAGAAAAAGCAGAATATTCGCATGCTAGAAGAGCAGATTGCTTTGACAAAGCACCTTACAGAAGAAAGAAACAAGGCACTAATGGAAAAAGGGTCCCAGCAGTCCTAGGCACAGACCTGAGTCATTAGAGGTTTGATTAAAGACGTTTGGAGATCATTGGTATCTAACTACTTGCAAGTGTTTCAGCTAACAGGTAATCTGTGAAAGTCTGTTTCTTTTGTGTAGGTTATAATCCAGTCCCAAAACCTATAGGGCGGACACAAAACATTTCCTCTGTCACTGGTACTTTGACTGTGGAGACTTGGCCAGCACATCCAGCGTGGATGGACTTGTCAATGTGGGGAGGAATAGCTCCTTGTTGTGCAAACACCATCTAGGATGGCTAATAACGTTCACATGAGTGGGCTGCTGAGCCGCCATGATGATGAAGCCACCAGGACCTCCACCTCAGAGGGCCTGGAGGAGGGTGAGGTGGAAGGGGAGACCCTCCTGATTGTTGAGTCTGAGGACCAGGCTTCGGTGGATTTATCTCACGACCAGAGCGGAGACTCTCTGAACAGTGACGAAGGTGACGCGTCCTGGATGGAGGAGATGTCCTATTACTGCGAGAAGTGCCAGAAGTGGATTCCAGCAAGTAAGCCTGCCAGTTGTGTTGTGTCTTGCTTGCATCGCTGGGGTTGATGTTTGCAAGGTGGTTATGCTGTCCTGCATACCTGTTTTACGGGGCAGCCCTTGTTTAGCTGTATCCCATCCTGTGTTGGAGGAGAAAGGCTGTCTTGGTATTGCGTGGAGCCCAGCAGCCTGATGCCAGCGGTGTGCGTTAGGCACTTCAATCCATGAACTGTATGCGTGTCAGAAGCCAGCATTCCCTGTAAAGAAATGGGACTGTCTTCTTTAATTAGTAAAGAACAAGGGTATGACTTCAGAAACATGCACACCCTCCTGAGTCTTGCTGCTAGTGTGTTTAGGGGACTTCGGCCAAGTGACTTGGCCTCTCTGCTCACTCAGATAAAGATAATGACCCTTGCTGTAAAGTTCTTCCTGTGGACGAAAAGGGCTTTGGGATAGTGTTACTTTTTCTTTTTTTTTTTTTTTCCTGGTCTATTTGTCACATCTGTGGAGCATATGGCTAAATTTCAACCTTAATGGTTTCCCAATAATGTGAATTTAATTTAGCTTTCACAGAAGCATGTCCAGCCTGTAGCAGCTAGCTTTGGGATGCATTTGGAGCAAGCTGCAGAACTTGATCCCTCTGCTACCGCTGCTTGACATAAGATATATGCTGTTAGCAACATAACAGACTAGACTTTACTTTCTAAATTCTGAAGATTCAGATCTATTATTAGATCCAAAAGCTAGATATTGCTAAGCACTGGTTGTTTTTTGGGTTTTTTTTTTTGGGGGGGGTTGTTGGTTTTTTTTTAATTTGGGTTTTTGTGGGGGTTTTTTTGTTGTTTTTTTTTTTGCTAGAAATAGTGAACTTTTCAGGTGGCACCTGCCTTGCAGATATGTAAGAGCTGCCCTTTTTGCCATCCTAGAATTTGCCAAAAGTTACAGTGTAGAAATCTCCTCTCAAGGCATGGTAGTGAGTGTTTTGATGTTAATGTAATGGAACCAGCATTGTACTATTAAGGTAGTATGCAGTTAAAGGGACATAGTAACTTGAAATGTATTAATAAAAAAAAAATGGAGCAGAGTTAAAGGTAGCATGAGCTATCTCATCTTAGACCACTTGATTTAACACTCAATTTGTTTTATTTTACAAAGATGTTCCTCTCTCTCGTTGCTGTGGAACAAATCCAAAGAGCAGAAAAAGCCAATCACAGAGCAACAGTAACTAGATACAAATGTGCAAAGTAAATGAGCTGGAAAAGGGTAATACTGCTCTCTGCTAATTGTTCAGTAATATGGATATCAGTTGTCACTTGTGAAAGTCACCAACATGCTCAGACAAATGATCACTTTTTACATTGAATTGCCATCTAGAAATTCTGTTAATCTACTAAGTGTGTGGGGGTTTCCCCATCAGACATAGGGGCAACTTTAATAGCTAGATTCTGCAATTCACTACGGAAGCAGAGCATCCATATACTGCAAATGCTTGATCTGGTGTCGTTATACAGTAAAAGAGATGTCATACTTTTAGAGAAAGACCTTTTGTGTGTAAATTTTCAGAAATGCTGTAATCTTAACTGTTTCCTGTCATGTGATTTTATTTTAAAATTTTTCTTATTTGTGTAAATTAACCCCTGGTGAGTTTAGAAGTCCTGATTCATATGATGTTTTTTCTCTGCTGCAGAAATAGAGAATTAGAGCCTGTAACTTTGGATATGTGGGGTTTTACAGGTGGCTCTATCCCAGCAGATCGCTTTTGTTCGGACAAACTTTTATGCAGGGTTAGCTTTACACAGCAAAGCATATGCTGAAGTGCTTTGCTGATTTGGGATCTAATGCATCAACTGCAGTAAAGAAAAAGTGTTTCCTGATAATATTGGGCCATTCTTTTGGCTCTTAGTCTCCAGGAAAGAAGATCTTCCCCTGATAGGAGAAATAAATACCTTAAAGCTTCACACCATGTCTGCTGCAGTGCATCCTGGAGGCGGCTCTAAACAGGGACTGGCAGCCTTACTTTAGTAACAATTTGTGGACAGGGAAAGAAAGAGCTGTAAAGACATGTAGCAGTGAGCGGAAAGATGACATGGAAGAGAAAGCTTGTATATTCTGATAGCCTTTGCAGTAGCATACCTTTTTTTAAGAGGTCAGCTTTTTTTTAAGTACAGTGGGAAAACAGTTATTTATTGAAGTATATAGGTTATCCTGGGGAAGCAAGAAAGAATGAGAAATGCAGCAGAAACAAGGAAATCCTTGGCTTTGTACCTGCATTCAGATGTTAAGTAGAACGCCCCTTTTTTATGGCTGTGCTTTTCAGTTGGTCACAGCTGGCTGTTGCAACTGTGAAATGAATCTGCGCCTTCCATCGCAGAGAGTTCTGACGCTTTCTGGGAACTGTCTGGGTCTCTGGACTCTGGGAAAATTGCAAAAAGTACTTTTCTGCCTGATGTTGTAGGAAATCCAAATCTCCTTTGCAGCGCTTTTTCCTATAAAAGGACCAAGAAATTGATTTTTGCCTATTCATTTTAGGTCAACTGAGAGAACAGCTCAGCTACCTCAAAGGAGATAACTTTTTCAGATTTACTTGCTCTGATTGCTCAGAAGATGGGAAGGAGCAATTTGAACGGCTGAGATTAACATGGCAACAAGTAAGTAAAACGTTTGTGCGAGCAGAACCACAGGACTTTCTAAAATTGTTGTTTGTTGTGTATGTGCTACCGAGAAGAGGAGGATCAGGTATAGGTAACAAAGAAACATATGCATGAACTTTAGAAATTAATTAGCTAAGGATTGCCTGCATATTAGAACTTGGGCATTTGGCAGGTAAATTGAAAGATAATCATACAAACCACATTCCTTTTTTTCTTCGTCTTTTTTTTTTTCTTCCCCTTATGTTGCTCATGAATTCATGGCTTCAGGCACGTTTGGAGAAGCAAAATGAATGTAGTTTGGCTGGTAGGCATGAACAGTTTTTTGTGTATATGAGCAAATGTAAAACTAGTGAGGTGGCAACATACAAACAGAAAGCTTGCCAGCTCCCTGAACGCAAAGCTCCAACCTGGCTGCTTGCTCACTAGCAACAGTCCTTGCTGGAATTTGCTATTTCAGTCTTGCACACCTGAGCAATCAAAATAATTTGCATTATACAGCAGCCACCGTATGGGTAGACTGATGCACATCATCTTGCTCTAAGCAGGGCGCTGGAGGGGCAGGCAGGCAGTGCTGGCTGCCTCTGCATAAAATGTATTTCATCAGGTGGTAGCTGTTGCTCAGCATTAAGTGTTTCCACATGCTGAGCATCGGGCAGTATGTGCGAGACATCTGTTTGCATCCTTTGGGACAGTAGTGGTGTGTTGTCTCATAATAGATCATTTAAAACATCAGTTGTAACTCCTACAGTGCTTTCTCATGGTGCACAGTGCAGGGCTGTGTAGGAGAAAAGGTTGACGTTGCAGTTTGTGGCTAGCAGACCGGCAGAGTTTCAGCAAGTTACAGGTATGGAGAGCAAAGGCTGCTAGCATTACACCGAGGTCTCTTCAGAGTGGCATGGGGAAGGGACAGACAAAATCAAAACAGGTGAGGAAGAAAGTTGACTAGTAAAGAGACTATCTCCCTAGGCTTCTAGCAGCCAGAGCTGCTGCTGCTTCTGGGTAAGTCGAATTGAGGGAAGTGGTCAAATCAACTTATCTGAAGTAGGAAAAATGGGGACAGTGATTTCTGGATTTTTTTTTTGAGTATGTGGCCTCAACAGATCCTTATCTTTAGCCAGTTGAAAGAAAATTGTTTTTGAAGTCCTAAGACACTGTCCCACCTGATTTAAAAAACACAAAATCCCAGATAAATAGTTATCAAGCTAAGAGGGGTTGTGAGGCAGAAATAGGGTACAGAGGACATTAAGGCTGTTTGTATTTCCTCGTTTTGGCATCTTCAGCATTCCAGAAAGCTATGGCCCACTGCGAGGAGACCCATCTCCCTAAGAAAAATACATTTCAAACTTGTCTGACAGTGAAGAATAAGTCCCTATTGGAAGTAGTATCAAACCGAGGCCGTGTGATTGTTGAAAGATGGTCCCAGTCCAGCTGATTTTAGTTGTATTCAAATGAATTGGGTAAACGTAATTAACAGTTGGTCACCTAGGATTTACTTACAAAGAGGTGTGATATTTTTCAAACCTGCCCTTTAGTTTAGGCATGTTATAGGTCAGACTGAATTTGATTGTGAAGCACGTGAATGAGCTGTAAATGGATTGTGTTTAATGAAGATTACCTGGAGACAAACTTAATTCTTGTATACTGAAAACAGTTACAGAGAGTTTATAGTCTGTTCAGTTTGAAATGTAACAGTAAGTATTTAGAAGGACCATTGTCACTAGATGGATTTGATAGTGGGATTACTTGTGATCATTTTTTGAAAGACTTTTTTCCTACCTCCACACTACATTCAGATCCTAGTTGTGATATAATTCATTTATACAACTGCTGCAAAAGCTTGTATCT